TTCACATTTTGCCACTTTACTGGAGTGCAATTAGCTGAAGCAGAAAAAAATGCTCAGTGTAAAGCAGTTCGGCTGAAATTGTTACTCAGCTCTTTAGCAGGACCCAGCAGTGAAAGTCTTGAGGTGGTGTTGTGGGTGTTGGTGCAAGAAGCAACATTTTCATTTCTTCTATACAAACATTTTTTTCCTCTTACATTCAGAGAAGGAAAGTATGGGAAATCACTGGAACATGCCTCCCTGTTTTCTATCTGTTGATTTTGGTACAGACCTGTGAAATGATACAGAAAGTAAGCACAGTATTTGAGAGGAAATGTGGTCTTTAGGTTGAAAGGAAGGAGCTGGCTTCCATTCCTGACTCTGTTACAGGCTTACTCTGTCACCTAGACCAAGGCTTTCTTGCATGCACTTGTTTTCATAGTTAAAGTATGAGGAAAACAGGTTAAGACCTGTCTGGTTGGCATCTCTGTGAGTTAGAGGAATGTATTGGAGGAACATCAGAGGGATTGCACTGTTAGCATAAAAAGTACCTAGGTGTGCATAATAACACCTGCCTTGCTGATGCTCCCACGTAGTAGCTGTTGTTAAAAATGTCAACTGATAACAACTTATTCTGACATTTATGGAAATAAGATAATTCTCTCTTCAAGAAAATAAAAACTTCATGTGCAGGTAAAAGCGGACTTTTGTGTTGGTCTATAATAAAATTGCTCACTCGAATTATTGTGACTAATTACTACTCTGACTGAAACCACTAGCAAATGATGTAGTAGTGAATGATGCTGTAAGGCAGAGCTTTTCCTACTTGAAAAGCAAGCATGAAGTGTGTTCACGGATTATGAAGTATTGGTATGTTGTTTTGACCTCCTTTAGATATTGGTGCTAAGGGAGATGAAGGAAAAGTAACTTTCTGAACCCAGTGGATGGAATATAAAGAGCTCCCAGTGGCTTGAATGGGGAGGCTTTCTTTTTTAAGGCTATATACTGTAATCAGATGCAGTTAATTTTTGCACTCCACTTGTACAGTGATACTGATTTAGCCAGTGTCAGCACTGTCAATATCATTAGTAATGTGGCAGGCAGATGGAAATATGAATGTGATTGCATTAATAAATTCTTAATATATTCAACCTTTCATAAGCTCACGGCATTACAATTTATTCGCTATTGTTTAAGACCATTTTAAAGCAGGAGTTGCATTTTGAAGTGTTCTGTCATTGTACCTTTCTGCCAGCAGTGACTGGCTTCAGGTCTTACTTAAATGAAGAAGTTGTAAAGTAAATTTAGTAGAAATGTGAAGAGTCATGCTGTATATTGCATATTACTGGAGGCTTGTAGCACCCTATGTAGTTTCTCTTGTGTATGGACATAGAAATGATTCTAGAACCAATTAGTTACTTTCCCTGTAGTTACTGAAAGGCAAGTTTGCCTAAGAGCTACCAGTTATTAGAAAACTTACCTGAGAAGAGCCCACCACAAATAGAGCTGCCATTTATTTGACTTAAAATCTAGTAAAGAAAAAAAACAACCCCACCAAGGCTTTAAAATAAATACTGTACGTTTTTATGTGACACATGTTATTTCTATTCATAAACCTTAACTAAATTTAGATTTTTATTAATCCAATGTGACCTAAAATTTTTGCATTAACAGCACAATGTGGAATTGGGCTTATTCTCTTTGAATGCAGATAAAGCCATCATCTTGAAAATAGCTCTTTCTGACAAAAAGGTGTTCTTTTGAAATAAAGTCTTATTCACTACATTCCTCTTAGAGTTAATGTGAATTTTAGTGCCTCTAATTTTAGATTGAAGTGAGGTCTAGAATAAAACCCACCAGCTGACAATTGAATTTATAGATAGTTGTGAATATTTCAGGCTTGAATAATAGAGCTGTAGAATTTCAGACACAGAGAGGAAGAGAGAATTAAGCTCCAACTGTAGTTTTAGACTATAATGCAGTGGTGTCTAGGAATTCTTCAGTGTAACGAGCTAAGTAGTAATTAGGAGGGAACTGAGGGAGGGATTTTTACAGAGATCTAGCTTAGGCATTATTCCAAATGTTCGGCATAATAATTTGATGGTGGTCCCACCTGCCATCCATATAAGATGGCTCTTGAATTACTTTCATTCAGATGTGGTACAGTAATGAAGGAGTGAAAGCAGTAGGTGTCTGTTGCCCACCCACAGCTAGTACCCAGCCTTGTCTCTGGTTCAGCTTCTTCAGGGGATTGAGAAGGTTTTTGTTGTCAGAGTCGGGCACTGTTGTTTTCACTTTTCTTTGGAATGGTTAATGTTTTAACTGCATTTGTGCTTTGCCAGCATGCATTGGTCCAGTCTGTACTGTTTAAGCTGTAGCCAAAAGCAGCTCTCTCTTGGTTGGTACCAGAAATTGCTACTTAGAAGCATTGGCAGGCTGGCTTTAGCCTAAGCAACACTGGTGATTAGATTTTAATGCTTGTAAAACTGAGATTATATTTTGGTTCTGACTGCTTGGAGTGGGAGATATCCACTTTTGGTCTGGATAAGACAGAGAACATGTATTTAAACAACTAATTAATTGCAAATTATTTTTTTCTGAGAAGGGAAGGGTGACATTCGAGCTCATTATTACACAAATTAAAAAAAAAAATCAGTGGAGTCTTAGACAAGAACGTGCCATCAAGGTGGTTATGACAGACTCTAGGCAGTGACTCCTGTTGCTATGTTTTGAGACTTTATATGTGCAGTCTCAGGAGCAGGGAGCTGAAAAGAGGATCAAGTACCTGTTTAGTCAATAGAAGGACCTTAGTGTTAGTGTACAGAAAAATAATGTAAAAACCAAGTTGGTAGAATGTGAAAGTTAATTGATATTTTTAATTTTATCTGTATAAAATTCAGTGTCAAAGAAAAGGAAAGACAGACAGAGAGACACCATGTTTTAGTACCCTAATATCTTCTAACTCTAGTCTAAGATTGTAATGTATGTGAGAGCAGTCCAATAATTATAAGGTAATAAGTAGAGTGGTGGTGTAAGTGCTCTAAATTAAAAGGAATTCGCAGAGCTGCTGTAAGTCAGTGCCGACCCGCTTTCTTTCAAACGTTGACTTGAGAAAAGTGCTTAGCCCAGAGTGCAAGTAGATAGACAAGAGAGAGCTATCTATTAATTACAGCACTCATTAACAGTGACGGCTACAAGGCAGCAGATGCAGAAGAAAAGGCACACGCTACTGCAGGCTGGCAAGGGGATTTCCCCCCTCCAGTTCTTGAGGAAAGGACAACACAAGCAGGTGGTCCAATGTAATAAGATATTTTCACGGCTTTAACCTTCCCATTTCCTTGGTTTATTTGCTGACACCAGATAGCTTGCTCCTTCCACCTCTCTAAATAAGTACTGATTTTAATTTTGGAGGGTAACATTTCTGCACATCAGTCTAGCTGTTTTCCAAATTCATGCGTTGTTTGTTTTCAATAGAATTTTACAGTAAAAATCACAACAATTGAGAGGTCTTAAATAAGATCCATGGGCACTGATTTTAGGGTAAATCTCATCCTAAGTAGATATCTTTAATGGTCAGGCTTTGATCTTGATTGCCCTTGTTGGAAAGGAAGCCAACTCTCTGGATTTATGTCTGTTTTCCATTGGTGAATTTGATTCCAGATCTTGAAGCAGGAATTGATTTTATTTTGGTGTTGTGGGTTTTTTTTGTTTAAACAGGTGAAAAAGTAAAGTCAAGATCTCAAAAGTGACTTTAGCAAAGTCCAGTTAAGTCAGTCAACTTGTCTGAACTCATGTGATTGCTTTGAAAATATGAATCTGTAGCACCAGGTGGGTGGCCTTATGGGGTAGTTGCTTTTCTGCTGGTAATGTTTCTAGAGGAATGCTCATAACTGTCATCTTTGCTTTGGCAGCTTCTGAGAGCCCTGTCAGGATAATGCTGGGTAGGCCATTTGCTACTGTGGACTCATAATCACAGCTGTAGAAAGTGAAGATAGTATCTGATTCCGAGCTTTCTAATTATTATTTTTGTCCCTTGTTCTCCCTAAAATATGTTTAATAAAAAAACTTGGGGATGGAATAAACAAAGAAAATTTTTTTTCAATGTAGAAATCATTGATTTGTCAAATCAAATGTTGTATGGTTTTATTTCAGATGCTTAATTCTGAAAACATGAGAACTGAGAAGTAAGACAGAATCTCACCTTCTGAAAGACAAATCTTCAGTCTAAAGTTTCCTCTATTTTTTATTTTTTTTTTTAAATCCAAGAATGGAACACATAAAATGTCAGATCCTATAGAGCTGCAGATATATGGGACAGTGGCATAGTTATTACTGGTTAGTCTGAGGATAATGGCTAGAAAGTAATTGCAGCCAGAGCTGATGAATCATTTCACTTAGATTTTGTGAAAGTGGAGTCCAGCCTTAATTATTTGTTAGAGTTCCCAGTTGATGTGCTACTCCGTTACTAAATAGATGTACCTATCATAAAGCGATATTAATAAAGAAAAAAAAAAGACTGTGGGGGCCTTGCTCTTCTGTGCTGGGATCAGATCAATAGGTGGTGGATACGTGTTTTAGTCAAGTATCTTGACAAATATTAATTACAGAGCAGAAGATTTATGTGATCAAACTTGGAAATATTTATTTCTGATAATGATGGAGTTTACAGAAAGAAAATACCAATGGAAAAGGTGTTTAATAGCCAAGTCATCTACTAGGATTTTTTAAAATTTTTTGGCTCGCTAGATGACAAGTTCAGAATTTAGAGTTGATGTGAAGTTGACATGTAGCCTAGAGGGCAGGTGGAGGGGACAACAGACGGATTTGGTCTTTTAAAGTTTTTGTTTACTGCCTGTCTGGAGCTTTGACAGAGCTCTGTCATGCCCTTATGCTGATTACCTTCATGTAGAACAAGAGGTATTGACTAATGAATGAATGATGTGCAGTCCCTAACCCTTCCAGAGCAGCCTTAAAGAGCACTGTCTAATACACAGATTCTTCTTTCTCTCTCTCCCCACTACAGGCTTCTCTGCAGAATGTCAAGCAAAGATCGACACATTGATTCTAGCTGTTCGTCATACATCAAGACGGAACCGTCGAGCCCTGCCTCTCTGACGGACAGCATCAACCACCACAGCCCCGGTGGCTCCTCAGACGCCAGTGGGAGCTACAGTTCCACCATGAATGGGCATCAGAATGGGCTGGACTCACCTCCCCTCTACCCTTCGGCCACAGGGCTTGGGGCCAACGGGCCCGTCAGGAAACGGTATGATGACTGCTCCAGTACCATCGCTGAAGATTCACAGACCAAGTGTGAATATATGCTGAACTCGATGCCCAAAAGACTGTGTTTGGTGTGTGGTGACATTGCATCAGGGTACCACTACGGAGTGGCTTCCTGTGAGGCCTGCAAGGCTTTCTTCAAGAGGACAATTCAAGGTTGGTTATTCTTTAACTTCTTTTCTTTTGCTCAATATGAAATCCTACAGTCTTTGATTAAATACTGTTAGGACTTCAGACTGTACTTTTTCATTCTTCATAGTGTTTGGTCCCACAGATGTCATTCATGAAAAAGGCGCTTAGGGCTTCTTTGGGAGTTCTGTCTGTTGTGTTAAGCCCACTGCCACGTTTATTTTGATTATGAAAAATAGAAAAAACACTGGAGCCATCCAGTGCGTGTTCAGATGGTTTTCTGTGTGAATTTCTCATGGATTCCCATAAAAGACTGTTGCAAAGAAAACATTATTTTTGTAAAGGTTGTCATGGATGCCTCTTGAATACACCTTGTGGCTGGCACACAGGGATTGTGCTTGGGTTTTGCTCCTAGTACACCACTACCGTACTTAAATTGTTACAGAATCAAGTTTATTTTTGTTAAAGCACCAGTGCATTTAAAGCTGGAACAAAATGCAATGATGTAGTACTTTGTGCATATCAGTGTATGAATAACTGGTCTTTTACCCGTATGATATACAGTGACCTTAAACAGGTTCAACAAATATTTGTAAGATCACATTCTAAGGAGAGTAAGTTGGCAGCTTTTGGTCTCTGCCCGGTACTTTGTACTAATCTGCTCTTGATACCTGTTACAAATACACCACATATTTTGGCATAAATTAGTACAAATGGGATAATGTGCATGACCACTTGTTCTAGCCTCAGAACCAATGGAGACAAAATAACCCTCTATTTTGAGTTAGATATCATGCTTTCAAGTAAAATTGAAGGTGCTTTATTTAAAGAACATGAGGCCAAGCTTGGCCTGTACAAGAATATAGCATCACATTAAATTAAATTCAAACTTCAGAGACTAAAATTAGGTTGCTAAGTACAAATTTAAGCTCGTTAATAAAACCTGCTTGATCTTCATGGATGTTGAGCACCTGGAATTCTCAGGAAAGACAATGCAATCTGGTGGTATACTTTTCTTTTTAAAAATGAGTTACGATAAGGAGCATAAAGTTTCAGTTTGTAATTTTGCATAATGCAAAATTTGAAACATTTGGCCAACATTTCTTAAATATAGTATTTCCATATTTAATGTAAAATTTATAACAAAAAATAATGAACGTTATTTTAATTTATCCACGGTTGAGGCAATGGCCATTTTAGTCTCCTCTCATCCATTTTAGTACTGGGGTATTTGGGCCTTCTACCAGCATGAAGTATCTGTTTTATGATGGCTGTTTAGCCACTGAAAAGAAACATTAGACCAGTTGTTCTAAAGGAGCTGAATATTACCATGTGTCCAAGAAGTAAACAAAAGTACATGTGAAGATTCCTGGTGGCCTGGGTTCATATGTAAAATGAGTGCGAATGCAGAAACGGTATGCTCATTTCAAGTCTTTGCATTTGGAAAAAGTATAAAAAGAGGTAGGTGATTTCACTTGACCTTCAGGAACATTTTTAGAAAAGTTCAAAAAAATGTTTCCACTGAAGCAATTTTTATTTTGTGGTTGCTAAACTTCAAACACCAGCTAGCAACTGTGTTTTTATAAATGGTATTTAATTGCTATGTAATAGCTGTCCTACAGAACTCGATTGATGCATGATTATTTTAGTTGTATTTTGAGCATGAGAAAATGCCACAGAAAGGCTGACTGATTAAAGAGTTGACTTCTGGCAGTAATAGATAGCCTGCAACTGCACACCACACCACAGACAGTAAGTTTCTGAGCATGGAAGCACAAGGCAGGGATGTCATTCTCCAGATTAGAAACCTGGACTTGGCCATGCAGCTCAGGTTAGAACTGGCAGCTGTGCAGAAAGTCTCAGTACAGTTAGAGCACTAGCTGCATCAGCAGGTGACAGTGCTGTGAAGACAAAAAAAAAAATGCAGTAGGGCAAAACCAAGCATCACAATGGAAAAGCAGTAAGAAAGACACTAAGAATAGGAAGTTAAGTGACCATCATAATGTCATGGCAGCATCTTCAGTAATGGTGCTGACTAAACTGACACAACTACTGAGAGTTTTCAGATACCATCCAAAATAACGGAAGCTACTTTGGTGAATCAAACATGGATTGTGGTAGGTGACAATAAATATATACGAAAAAGGTACTACTCATATTTTGAATGAGCAAATTCTGCCTTTAAGCTTGCATGAAGAATGACTCCCCTGAGCCTTTTTTGTGTTCTAAATGGTAGAATTTAGTCCCAGTGTTCCTAGAGGTTTTTCCCTGTACCATTTCACTTCCTGGTTAATATCACATTCTTTCTCTGCTTGTTTTTAAAATAAGTTAATTACTGCATAACTGCAAATAAAGAAAACAGAAAAAAACCGAAGAAATTAATAAATATGGAAGAGTAAGCCAGACTACCTTAAGAGTCAAGTTTTGTAACTGTGCATATGTAAGGAAAACATGTCTCGGCTCAAAGAATTGCTAATTTTAAATGCTAATAATTAAATTGTGATGGGTACTTAATGTAGATTCAGTGAAAAAGAATTTTTGACTTCCCAAACATTTTTTGTTTATCATTCATGAGTTATTAAATTAACTCAGAGTTGTAGGACCTAAGTGCTACTCCTGTTGAAGTCATGGGGAAAACTACCCTGACTTCAGTGAAAGCAAGGCTCAGCTGATAAAGTTAGACTAAGCACCTCATGTTCACGTCACGCCTGATGTCCTTTTCACTAAGTCAATGGGAGTCTTTCCATTCTTTCCATTTCAAAAGAGGCTTTTGAAATCTCAGTAGGTGAAAGCCTCATACAGCTGTTCAGAGAGTGAGCCAGTATCTATACACCACCAGCATCTTATGTAAGACAGAAGTGAACTGCATCACAGGATACCTAGTAGTCCCTTACACAAGGCGAATTTCACTCTAATGTGGAGTACACACCTGTTTTTAAGGGTAATGGAGGTTATCATTCCCTTTCAGATGACAGCAATTTAGTCTAAAAAATGTCTGTTCGTGGGTGACGGATTTCTCCTCTTCTTCCTGCCTCTTGCAATCTTTTCTAATTCTCTTAAAAGTAAAGACATTAAATGAACCTTGTCTTGAATTATAAGAAGGAGTAATTTTGTCTTTTTTGAATATATATTTTTAACATAGCACAGAAATATGTTTGAGACTGTGGTAAAGAATGCATAGATTATAATAAAAATCAATAATATTAGAAAAAATTAGAAACAAGAGATTACCTGGCTAAAAAAACCAAAACAGAGCCCATCAAAAAAATGGCTCAATATATAAAATTGGTGTCGTCTTAGGTCATAGGAGAATCTAATGATGTTCTGCCCCTTTTTGTGACATATAAGGGATGGGAGAACTGGATGTTCTCTTTGCTTAGCCTGCTACTCACTCAGCAGCAGCTCTCAGTTTGCTTCTGGGATAATTTACGTGATGGCTGATTGCAAATGTCTCACAGAAGTACACACACAGCCAAATCTCTCCAAAATTGGCTTAACATCAGGGATAGCAGAAAATAGCAACATCTAAAAATAGTTACAGGTCCATTGATTTTTAGGGTCTCTCCACAGTTTTTGCTGTGCACCGTATTATCTTGAAAACTCCAAGCTTTCATTAAAAGAAAGAGAGGAAAAAAAGCATTTTCAGTTGTCAGCTGGGTGCAAAGTCCTGTATTCAGCACAGAGGTCTTATACTTACAAGGTATTTTGTAGTGAATATTTAGTGTAAATATGTTTCTCATCATTTTTATTTGCTCAGTTATCATAAAGACTAGTAAGTACACATTTTGCATTAATAATATGTAATTACTCAGTGCCTATAACTTAAACATTTCTGTGAGTGGATTGAAATGGTATTCTTGCTTTCAGTAGAAGGATGATAGGACTTACAGACTCAAAGACAGTTTAGTATTTTGTTTTATTTTAGCCTTCATCTCTCTAAAATAGTGGCCTGCTTCTAGACAGCTTTCTTCCTCCCTCCTTCCAAATCCTCAGGGCTGTCATTTTTGGACTCTTTAAACTATCAGGAAAAGGCAGTGTGACAAGCCTAGGTATTGATATGTTGCCTTCCTGGTAAGGCTTGTTGGGAAAGTCTCAGAGCTTACTTCTTGTTTCCTTGGACAGTGTTTAAATTTTCCTCACAAAAGCTAAAATATTTTACATTCAATAGTCCTTGTAGTTCTTGGGCTTTGGTTTTTTTACTTATGTGTTTCTTTTTTAAGGAAACTGTTGTATGAACAGTATTGAGACAGCAATCTTCTGTTTATACGCAGGGTGAGTAAAGCAATAGGTAGTAAGCCCATCAGTCATACCCTCACTGTCTCCTTCAAGAGCTTTATCCCTGAGAGCCATTGTCTGTCCATGTCTCCTAACACAAACAAGAAATACTCCATCCTGGGAATACTGTTGTCTTTTTGGTCATTACACAGACTAGACTAAGTCTACTATCACATTTTTTGCTGATCGCCTAATAGCCTTCAGCTCTACAGTTCTGCAGTAATGTAGTTCCTATGGTCTTCAAAGCCTGCCCAGACTAGGAGCTAGATTAAACTGCTTTGTACTATGTTCACCTTTATGATTACTCAAAGTTGTTTTTAATCTCTTTAGTGTTCAGGTTTTTCAACCCTCTTTAGCGTGTTTACTCATTACTGGACCAGTTCGATCTGTAAATATACAAACACTTTCCAGTAAATGTATTTATATTTTTAATCAGAAAGTTTTAATCAGGAAAGTTAGAACTAGCTATGTAAATTCAGATAAGGTGACATTTAAAATGGGCAACATAAAGTTTGATTTGAGGTTGCACATGACCGAAGTGACTCTCAAAGGTTAATTTGCATCTCTCCAAGCTGACTCCTGTAATACTGCACATCATTTTTGTGGAGGAAATGAAAGCAAATTAAGTAAGATTTTATGGCTTTTCAGCATCTTTACTGGTAGCTAAGATTATAGTTTTTTATAGAAAGATAGGGTGGAAGCTAGCATCTTGGTGCAGTAGTCTGTGGACCTCGGCTCTGGTGCAAAGATGG